GAACATACCAGTAGGTAAGGAGATTTTAAGCTTTATTATTAACTCTAGCAAACAGATTTAAACAGGAACACAAGAGCATAGTATAAGAACATAACACACCAAGCAAGATGATAAAACTCTTCCGCTACTGTCAGGAACTACCACATGGCAACAGCGGAGAGACCTCGAGATGGTTGAGATAACACAGGCCTAGTCCCAAGGCCTGTGTCCACACTCCAGATTCCAGGGACAATCCCAGGGCTTTTTGTTAAAGTCTGGCACTGCAATCCCATGACTCTGTCTTGGAGTCCGGACTCTGAAAGTGACCTTGACCAGATGTTACACCTGCTCTTCAAAAGATTCCAGAGCCTGAGAACTATATAGATAAGCTAGTGCTTAACCTAAACAATCCTGAGGGTTTTCCTCCCCCATCCCTTCTAAGTAAAAGTGAAAAACAAGCCAGCTAAACATTATCATGATTCAAAGTGCGTTTCTTAACGTGTGCAGGAGAAATCAAACGATGTCACCTAAACTCCTCGAAATAACAGTGGTCTTCCACATTGCCACTACACTCCACCCCTTGACATATTTTGATTTCCCTTCGCACTTATTGCTTTTCATGAATGTCAAGTCTTTAAGTAATACATTGTATGTTTGCATACAATCGTTTAACTTTAATATATAGAATACATATGAATATTAACAAAATAAAAATGGCTATTACAAAAATAATAACTGGGTGCCATGCTAAATTTAAAATGTTGGTCATAGTTGGGCTCCGTCCTGAAAAAAATATCCCACCAATGATGAGTGATTAAACCCTCAATCTCTTGAGTAACTCTAATTCAGCATATGTATGCCTAATTTTTAATATTATTCCTTTATTATATTTAGATAGGGCTTGCAATTGAGATTGAATTTGATTACTTTTCCATATTTGAGCTGATATTAAATCCCATGGGAAGTGTAAAGTTCCATTCTTTAGCTTCCCAACCTAAAGTTTTTATTTCATATTCAATTGCTGTATAATATCCAGTGGTAGTACAAATCTGGGATACGTTACATCAATGTTCTCTAACAGGTGGGTGAGATAAACTTCCATCTTCCCAAAAAACTGGGTCTATTGATACTACAGGGGGACGTGGTGGCGCAGCGGCTTAATGACGCTGAAAGTTGC